ATTTAGTTTCATAATATTACAAAATATCTAGTCAAAGAAATTTAAAAACCAAAGATCAATTTGAATTCACATTGATAAGTGATGACATAAATTTCAACTTGGCCATTAGTATTCTTTTTTTTTTTTTTAATACTAATTGATTTTTGTTTTCTATATGATATTTATGAAAAAAACAATTTGGGCAAAACCGATGTTTATGTTTTAAGCAATAATGGCTGATTAGTGATTGATTAAAATAGCTTAATATAAGATATTAACTTATTATAGATTAACTAACAGAGTAAATAATGCAAAATAGTACATTTTTATTTGTAATAAAAAGTTTATTTTTAACAATACAACAACATTGGGAAGAAGATAAAAAACAAAAATAAGAAATTACAAAAAACACAACAATTTTTTCAGCCCAAAAAAACTTTAAAAAACCCAAACTTTGTTTTTCATTTGATTTGTTTTTTGGGGTTTAGAACCGTTTACCTTAAAAAAAAACCTTTTTTTTCATTTCAAGCTTTAACTTCGGTCTTCTTGTTCGGCTCAAACACGAACTTGATCAGAGACTCTTTGATAGACATCAACTCAGGGAACTCAGTCTTCAACTTAGTTGCATCGAGCTCATTGTTACTCCTTGGAGCCACAATCACTTTAGCTTGTTCCTCCAATGTGAAGTTCTTCCAAGTAAAACTCGGGTCAATGTAGTCTCTGTACATCTCCAAGATCTCGTTATGGCTCACAACCCCCGGGTTAGTGAAATTGTAGATCCCGGTTAAGTTCCTCTTTGCCATTTCGATTGATATCGGGAGAAGCTCATCGAGGATTGTCATCGAGTTTGGGATATCCACAACTTTCTCATAACGAGCAATCTTCGTGATGAAGTTTCTCGGGTTTGTTAGATCCGAAGAAATCGGCATTCGCACTCTTAGCGTGCATACATTTTCATAGTTCTTGAGCAGCTCCTCCACCTTAGGGATTTTACCAAGATCAAAACCAGATTCTAGCAATCAATAAACGAGCTTACGACGATAATGATTACATTTTATCTGAAACATTCTTAGAGCTAATTTAACATCTAAGATCTAAGCAATCACAAGTATTGAAGCCAAATCAGCTAATTCAACATTTAAAACCTAAGCAATCAACACGAATCGAAACTTAATTGGCTAAATCTGAATAATGTCCTAAATAAAGGGATCAAAATATAAATTAACGAATCTAATCAACATTTTCAGAGCTAAAATTCACACAAATCAGCTAAAATCTTAGATTTTGGGGTTGAATCAGAGAAGAAACTAAAGAGACGGATCAAATCTGAAGTAATTCATAAATAAAGGGACTGAAAATGTAAGAAATCACTCACCATAGCTTTCGTTTTAGAGTAGAAAGATCCGGTGAAATTAGGAGTATCCTCCTCCTTGAATCCAATACCCGACCCGAGAGGATGACCCGAATCATACTCAAATATACAACCAGTAGCGTAATTGATCAGAACAAGTCCTTTCTCTCTGCAAATGTCGGCGAGAGTTAGGGTTCCGGCGACATTAGTACGAATCGTCTCAACTTTGTGAGATTCGCACCAATCAACATTAGGACGACCGGTGACTCCAGCGGCGTTGAACACGTGGCTAGGTTTCACAGATTCGATGTCGGCGATGATTGATTGACGATCTTGAAGACGACCGGAGCCGTAAGTGTAAGAGATTCCTTGAGATTCGCAGAGTTTACCGAGTAAACCACCGATCCATCCGGTTCGACCGTAGATTAGGAAGTTGAAGGAGGTTGATGATCCGTTTGCGTCTGCAACCATTTTTTTTTGTCGGTGATCGGAAAATTTTGGCCGGAGATAAAAGAGAGAGAGAGAGAGAGTGTGGATCTGAAGGAGATATAGAGAGACGTTGTGATCGGTGTTGCTTCTTTTTATCCCAATTTTTCGGGGAAACGATAATCTTTTTAGTTTTTACTTTTTGACCACCCATGTTTTCTTATTTGAGTTTTGTGACCCATAGACTTTTTTTTTTTGAACATTTTAGGAAATTGTTAATTTTAGGTGAAATTACCAAAACTAAAGCAAAACATAGGGTAAAGTTGTAAACATAGCATGTATAGATCATTGGAGTAGTGATAAATTTTGGTATTGAATTTTAGAAAATATCTTTTTTTTTTTTTGAACTTATTTGTTTCTCTCATAGAATAGATTGTAATAAAGCAGCACATAATCTAGCAAAATTTGGTTGTAATTTTCACGATTCTTACTTTGATTGATTATGAGAACCCTTCATCATGGATGAGAGAATAACTATGTATTGACTCTTTTTCAGCATAATAAAGATCATATTTGACAAAAAAAAAGCCTGTTATTTTATTAAATTCTATAATAGAAGATAATTATATATATGTTGGATAAAAAGATTATTTAATAGTAAAATGTTACTAATATATTCATAAGAAAACACTTTTATAGCATAATATGTTTTGACAAAAATTTATTATTATATTTTTCTTCAATGAAATTTCCACAAAATAAATTAAAGTCTTGTATATCTATTGAATAAAATATATATTAGAAATAACATAAATTATTTCAATTTATTAAGATACCATGTTACTATTATGGATATTAATATATAGCAAGTCTATATAGATCATTTTTAGAAATTGATAAAACATTTTTTATGATGTCAAGAAAAAAAATAACACATTGTTTATATACAAAATTTTGTTGTGATGTCGTAGCCAACGGATGCAAATCCATAAATAATTTTCTATTTTAAAAACTTCATTATAAATTAAAAGGACTAATTAAGTTGTCATACATATGGTGCTAGTGCTACTGCTAGCTATCCCACCCATATGTATCATATAAATTTGGGATTGGAAAAATATCTTTCGTAGTTCTCATAGATCATAGCATACCAAAGATAAAATTTATACTAACATGAATTTTGGGTAAAAACTCGTAAGTTGATAGAGATTTTGGATTTCTAGTTATCGGACGCTAATTTATTGGGGTGTTATCTCTATTCCTTGGTAAATATAGGGGCCTTAGGGGTAGTTTTTCTAATCTTGAATTATTGTGTTTAGTAGTGGTTTGTGTTTAAAATAGTTTATTGTTGTCTGAAATTTAGACAGAGATCAGTGAAAGCGGTGGCGTGAGAAATTATTAATTAACACAAAGGAGATTCCATTTCATTGGATGTCTGAATTTAAATTGAATATTCGTTGCAAATTTAATTTAAGAATATCTTTTTTCTTTACCACCATTTTTCTAGTCAACTACTCCTATTATTATTTTAATAGTGAGAAATCAAGAAGTTCAAAGAAAAAAAAAAAACTTAAAAACACTTTAGTCGTTTGAATTTACAATTCATAATTATTCGACTAATTTTTAAATGCATACATTATATTAAGCATCCAAATCATAGGAGATCAAAGAGCTAAAAAAGCAAAAGACTCCGGCAACGAATTGGCAACCCTTTAAACACTAGGTTGCATGGAATCAGAAGCAGGTACGCGGAAGCGAAGCGTTTGGAAATGTGGAAGCGATTTTTATAGAAATTACAGAAAATGGGGTACGTGTTGGAAGCGTATATAAAAATTAATATATATATATATATATAATAAAAATTAAACATTATATCATATAAAAAATTATAATCAACATACAAATCTAATACATAAATTCTAAATATCTCTCTATATTTAAAAATCAAATAGTGTACGTTTACAATAGAGAAAAGTCAAATAGTTCAAAGTCAAAAATTTAAAATCATTCTTCATTCTCATTTTACTAATTCCATCAAATAAAATTGTTTTAAAACTTTTTTACCAATTAAAACATCATCAAACTCAAATTTCTCGAAATTAATTTAATTCAATTAATCATTTTAACATCTCCCTAATAAATGATCCATGCTGCTATCATTTTTCTAACTATGATATTTTTAAAAATAAAATACAAAATTAGTTTTGGTTTTTCTTTTGTTGTATAAAAAACTATCAAAAATAATTTCTTATTTCTTATTTATTTTGTGACATCAAATTTTTTAAATGAAAACGCAACCTTCCAAAATAGAATCGTAAGCTTCCAAGGAGCTTCCAAAATGAATTTTTTAGAAGCGTTATGAAAGCGAGATTCCGAAAGCTTCCGAGAGCTTCCGATTCCGACTAAGATTCCGAAGCGGGAAGCGGACGTCCGACGAAGCTTTCGTGCTTCCTAGTTTAAACATAGTAAATATACAGATACATATCAACTAACAAATGTAGTGATTATATGATATTCATATAATCATATATACATAGTTCCACCGATCTTTGGTACTATATTTTGTAATTGCAAAGTTTCT